GGTTAAGATGCCACACTTCCACTGTAGCGGGTGTGGGTTTGATCCCTCAGCAACGATCTAAGCTGCATGGTGTAACCAGAAAGTAAAAAAATGAACTATTCTAAAAATAGTTTAGTTTTGAAGGGCTCAAAAAAGCAAGTTACAAAAAGCTGTAATTCTATTATGTATCTATATAATCAACTCTAAAAAAAAAAAAAAAGCCAGGCTGTGTGTCTTTGTATTTCCACTGTATAATAAGCACAGGTACATAACGGTTGTGTAGCTATAGAACTGTGCAGTACAACAGCCACTAGTCACATAAAATAAGTAACATTTCCTCAGTCAAACTGGCCACATTTCAAGTGCCCAATAGCTAGTATGAGTGTTACTCTCTTGGAGAGTGCAGATATAGAACGTTCCCAGCATGGCAGAGATTCTTTTGGACAGCACTGCCCTAGGATATCTGAGTGTATATTACCATACTGAAAAGACAGTGACACCAAAGAGTGATTCCTTCTGGAGAAAGGAGTTCACTTTTTATCCTATATCCTTCTGTATTAATTCATTTTTTATCCTATATTCTTCTGTATTCTATTTTTTAACTTATTAACTTGATTTAAATCCTGTTTAAAAATTTTTATTGAAGTATAGTTGATTTGTTGTTCAGTCACTTAGTCATGCCCGACTCTTTTCGACCCCATGGGCCACAGCATGCCAGGCCTCCCTGTCCATCACCAACTCCCAGAGTTTGCTCAAACTCATATCCACTGAGTCAATGATGCCATCTAACCATCTCATCCCTATTCGTCCCTTCTCCTCCTGCCCTCAATCTTTCCCAGCATTAGGGTCTTTTCCAATGAGTCAGCTCTTCACATCAGGTGGCCAAAGTATTGGAGTTGATTTGTGTATTTTCTATTTTTAGAAAATATTTGTATTTATTTTGGGGTTTATGTATTTTCTATTTTTAGGAAATACTTATTTAGAAAATATATTTATGTATTTTATTTACTTTTATAGTTGATTTATGTATTTCCTATGATATACAGCACATATTTTTGTTTTTGTAGCTTTAAATATTTTTCAAACCACAAAATATTTTTTATGAGCACATATTTTTGTTTTTGTAGTTTGAAATATTTTTCACTTTAGTTTTAAAATATTATGCATTAAAAAATGCATCAGATATTGTTTAGATGAGTTATTTTCCTTAGTATTTCTATCATTTTCCATGTGTCTAGTAGAGGAAATATTCATTTACCCAAACAGCACTGAAAGACTGCTCAGAAACTTTGGCATTTGATGGTTGAATAATTAAGATAATATCAACATGTCTTTTTCCTAAATTGTATCTTGATTTAAAAAAAAAAAAATAAAGGAGGCATGTATAGGAGATAACTTCCTCCTGCCTCAGATTTTGAATTTAAAATCCCGATTGAAATGAAACTGAGCTTCCATTGTATTCTCATCTCTATCATTCCCAGTTATCCTCTCCAGTACTCCACAAAGGGAAAGCTTCATTATTTTTCAGTGGGATGGGCATTTTTAGACAGGTATATGTTTGCATGAATGTATTTACTTGTGTATTTTTAGAAAATGCTAGGAGGGTGACATCCCTGGTGGTCCAGTGCTTAGGAATCCGCCTTGCAATGTCAGGGGCATGGGTTCGATCCCTGGCTGGGGAACTAAGATCCCAGGTGCCCTGCTGCGGCTGAGCCCACGTGCCACGGCTACTGAGTCCAGGAGCCACAATAAAAGATCCCGCCGGCTGCAACTAAGACCTGACGAAGCCGAATAAAATTTCATAAGAAAAACAATGCTGGGAGGATCGTCTTGTTAAATACCAATCAAATAAAGCTGTACAACAGTCCTCAGTGTGGAAAACAATATATTAATTTATTTCCAAGAAAACAACATGGAACATCATCAAAAACAAAATTTTCAGGGCATCTCCATGGGCCCGCAGAAACCCACTAGTCCAAACATTAAACTCTCCCAACATTAAAGTAATTTAAGACACAGAACAAATGACCAACAACAGACATGTAAACATCTTCTATTCCAAAAGATTTCTTCTTCTACAAGAGAAAGATCCAGTGTAAAGCATTCCTCTTCTCAAGTGGTGTGATGTAAGTTAAAAAAAAAAAAGGTGATTTTAAATTCTGCCTTTAGCTCTGGGTGTGTTCCCTACCCCTTGACTTTTCATCACCAGGTGCACTTCCATCTCTCTCGGCAACAGGAAAAAAGACAGATTTTACTTCGAAATCATTAAAAGTCATTAAATTCAAGGTCATTAAATATGATTAAGGGCTTCCTTAAGTTAAATATGATTAACATTCAACAGGCACAATTGCAGAAAAAGTAACATTGCATGGATTAAATGTATCATTAGTTATAGTTGCTGTTTTTCATTAGAATAAATAACTATCAAGGAACTGGAAAGAGTACAAAAGGAGACTTCACATTTTTCTGACGTGACAGGACTGAGACCATTCTGGGATGCTAAATATGGCTTCACTTCACCTTCTCGAGATGCTCCACCTTAGGAAATGAACTAAGGAGACCAGTAAGAGAAGCCTGATTCTCAGAGAACACGGTTCCTCATGCTTACTAACAACCTCTCTAAGCCTCAGTCACTTCCTCTGCAAGATGGGGGTAATTGGTAATTGGATGAGTTTTGCAAGAGCATTGTGAGATCTGAATGCCCTGAGATGTAAAAGAGAAAGCAGGATGCCTAGAAAACAATCACTGTGGCCTCTGTCTCCTCCCTCCCTTCTCTCTTCGGAATATTCTCTTTATTGATTTAGGCCTCACTTTGTAATTGGTGATATCTGGGGCCTGATATGACAATCCATAAGCCCACCATGAATGTGTTAAAATACAACCACTCTGATTGTATACAGCCACTCCCTGGTAGTCTAGTGGTTAGGATTCCGCACTTTCACTGCAGGGGCCATGGGTTTGATCCCTGGTCAGGGGAGTTCCACATGCCTTGTGGGGTGGACGGAGCCAGGGGGAATGATACACTCTGTGAGATTCTCGGGAGTTCTAGAAGATTCTCTTTCCAATGTTGGCATTATTGCCAAGATTTTCAGAGTGAAAAAGCTTCTCACTTCTTCTTGTCTCTGCATGTGTCTGGTGTATAATAGACACCAAAGAAATACTTACTGATGGACTGGATGGATGAATGGGACAAAGCATAAGTGACAAAGAGGCTCTCCCACAATTGGAAGCTTTTAAAAATCCAGGCACTCCTATGACCCCCACAGGCACTGCAAAGTTACCCAGAGAACACTGTGGACTCCTTAAAGGCTCATGGGATAGAATTTGGTCTCTGTTTTGCAGGTAAGATCACTTCAGAGGTATGTGCATGCTTAGTCGCTCAGTCCTGTCCGACTCTTTGTGACCCCATGGGCAGTAGCCCACCAGGCTTCTCTGTCCATGGGATTCTCCAGGCAAGAATACTGAAGTGGGTAGCCATTTCCTTCTCCAGCGGATCTTCCCGACGCAGGGATTGAATTCAGATCTCCCGTGTCTCCTGCATCACAGGCAGATTCTTCACCAGTGAGCCACTGGGGAAGCCCCACTTTGGTGGGGGTGGAGGCAAAAAAGGGAAGTGATTTACCCTGAAATGGTCAAGCGCATGCAATAGCACTTCCCCTCTTGAAATATCTTCGTTCATCGAGAACTCTTCCATGTTCTCAATGGAAAATGATGGACGAGGGAATCAGAGGACACTCTGACAGATATTCAAGAAGCGAACTACCTGAGGATCTTTTACTGAAGTAGCAGGCAGTGACTGCTGTCTTAAATTTGGTCTCCTGTGAATGACTTTACATTCTATACAGAACGTAAAGAACGTAAAAAAAAAAAAAAAAAAACCACCGTAGGCACAGGAAATTTGAAAATGCTACTGTTGAAACTCAGGAAACAAGACCGAGTTCTCAGTTCTAGCAGCTCAAGTTCTAAAGGAGATTGGAGAGTTCCGCAGAAAGCAGTTTGTATGCCGACATGCAGCTGAGCAAAAAGCAGGGGGAGTCCATTCATGTGAGGCTACAGATGTGTGATAAAAGATTCCTTCCTCAGAGAAACTTGATTCTTATTTCCCTAAATAGTATTACCTACCAATCTCCTTTTCATGAGAACATTTGTCTACGATGAGGATCTGATGCAGAGATCTGACGACAGTTTAATTTATCACAGATCAGGACATGAGCCTGAAAGAGCAATGAACCTCAAGAAACTGTCAGAGTGGCCTAAGGGCCAGTATCACCGTGCAAGCATCCTGACAGCACATTTCACAGTGTCTAGCGGACATTTTGACGTGTAATTATGTAGTCAGGTCCTGAAGCTATAACCTTGGCCCTGAGACTGTTCACATAACCCAGGCAAAGTTTTTCTCCCAAAGAAAGGCTCTCCTTCCCAGAGGCGATTTCCCTTCAGACATTGAGTGGCAGTGGATCAGAAATACCAGCTGGGCTGTATCGCAATTTCACTCTGATTCAGGGTTCTTTCTCGAAGCCTCAGTTCCAGGCATTCCACAGTGAGGGGGTACGCAGTGAGCTCAAACTTGTTCGCAAAGAGGCTTGAAGAATTAATCAACCACTTTAAGTCTCCATTTCCATAGATACAAATGCCGTGGACATAGTGGCCTGTAATAGGGGAGAAAAAGAAACAGTCAGGACAGGCTTGTTTTCGCGTTGAGGGCGGTGAGCTTGCAGAATGGTAGGGTGACCACCTGACTGCTGGGTGGCTAGGACTGTGCCTTCAAAATATTAGTGGAATTTGGCCACACTTCACCCCCTCCGCTACCTCCATCCTAGTCCAAACTGCCTCCATCTTCCTGTCTGGCTGGTCCCAGTGCCTCCATTTTTTTTTAATTTACTTTTAATTGGGGGAAAACTGCTTTACAATGTGTTGGTTTCTGCCACACAACAACGCAAATCAGCCATAACTGTACATGTATCACCTCTCTCTTGAGCCGCGCCCGCCCCACCTCTCCAGGTCATCACAAAGCCGGCTACATTCTCCTTTCGTCCCACTCTTTCCTTCCCCCACAGCGTCCACATGTCCATTCTCCATGTCTGAGTCTCCGTTCCTTCCCTGCAGATGGGCTCGCCAATTCCATTTTGACTGTTAGTATATTCTCAGCACAAGAGCCAGAGTGGCTGTTCTAAATGTAAACAGAAGATGTGTCCATTGCTCAAAACCCCCTGATGGCTTCTGGTGTCATTTGGAGTAAAAGGCAAAATCCTAGCAATGGCGTTCAAGACTCCTCGGAGTCTGGCCCTCATCACCCAGACTCACCTCTCACCACTTACTCCTTCAGTTATAAACCCTTAATAACCTTCACATCAGTCACACTGGCCCCCTCCCTGGTTCTGAGCAATCCAAGCATCCGTGTTTGCCCCTCTTCCCCCGACCACACCCTTCCACCAGACATCCTCAAGGCTCCCTCTGGCACCACTCAGGGCTCTACTTCAAGAGTCCGACTCTTTGTGACCTCATGGACTGTAGCCTGCCAGGCTCCTCTGTCCATGGGATTTTCCAGGCAAGAATACTGGAATGGATTGCCATTTCCTTGTCCAGGGGATCTTCCCGATCTAGGGATCAAACCCATGTCTCCCGAATTGTAGATGGATTCTTTACTGCCAAGCCTTTGGGGAAGCCCACATTTGGAACAGTGTCTGGTAAATATCAGATGTTAAATTAATAGTTATTGAATGAAAAGGGTAGAGAAGGAGGAGTGGAGAGTTCACGGGTGGGTAGAATTGGGAAGCATCTCAAGATGGATGGGAAAGCATCGGGTGGGAAAATGCAGACAGGGGAATTTTCTGCTACAAAAAAGAGTTTGCTGGGGAACAGGTTCAAAACAAGGAAGCTGTAAGAAGTTTGTGCTCTTTCCAGAATTTGTTTGGCACATGGTAGAACTACTATGGTTGACTGTCTTAAAATAGATGAAAGTTTGGGGCCATTTTTATCCCTTTTTTTGTGAAGGGGTTGGAGAAATTTACCAGAAGAATCAAATGATGAAATAGATTTCAGTAAGATTAATTTCACAGAGCTGTGCAAGGTACATTAGGAACCAATCAAGAGACTGTAGTAATCGTGTAAACCAGAGTTTGTTTGAAGTTAATTGTTACCATGAGTGGGAAAGGAAAGCTATTGGAGACAGAGCACAGAGGGACCGATGGGACTTGATAATTAACTCAGGGTCCCTGGGAAGAGGCACAGGAGACAGTGAAAATCACTAGAAAGAAGCCAGGGTTTGGGGGATGTTACAGGACAACCCGGTGGGAGGTGAGAAGAACTTGGTACACAAACACCACACCCACGCTTCAGAAATGAAAGTGAACAGGAGAGAAGATTTGGGGCTGGGTCGTGGAGAGAGAGCCTAGACAGCTTGGTCTTGGGGACAGAGGCAGAAAACACATCTTGGCAGAGAGAAGGGAAAGAACCAGCAGACAGCCACTCAGGATGCAAGCGAGCGACGGGGAAACTCAGGTGGACCCAGACGTGACGGAGGCCAGATGGGGACCTTGGCTGGGAGGATGGGTAACTTTGCTTCTTGAAATAGGAAGTAACAATGGGAGAAAGGGTCCAAAATGCCCTACGATGGGGACTTCCCTGGTGGTCCAGTGGTTAAGAATCCACCTCCCAATGCAGGGGACGTGAGTTCAATCCCTGGTCAGAGAACTAAGATCCCACATACCAGATCCCAAATTCCACCATGAAGATTCTGCAATTAAGACACAATGCAGCGCCCCCCCGCCCCACAAAAACCCAAAATGCTCTAAGATGGAGGAAAGGGGTGACCTGATAAAGGAATTGATAAGGTGATTTTAATCAAATGTCTTCAGAGTTCTTCCTAAAGTTGAAATGATCACCCTTGGAGAGTAGAGAGGCTGTTTCAGCACAAGATTAGGAGTTTAAAGGTGAACCAAAAAGCTGAAAATGTGTACACCATGAAGAGTACCAGGACAATAATGATGTAAATAAAAGAACAAGCGGGCAGACAGAGGGGCCAGCTGAAGGGCAATGGTGGGTGAATTTAGGACAGTTCTGGAGCATTCTTCAGCAGTGTTCTGCCTGCTGCTGCTGCTGCTAAGTCACTTCAGTCGTGTCCGACTCTGTGCGACCCCGTAGATGGCAGCCCACCAGGCTCCGCCGTCCCTGGGATTCTCCAGGCAAGAACACTGGAGTGGGCTGCCACTTCCTTCTCCAATGCATGAAAGTGAAAAGTGAAAGTGAAGTTGCTCAGTCGTGTCCGACCCTTAGCGACCCCATGGACTGCAGCCCACCATGACAAGAGTACTGGAGTGGGTTGCCATTGCCTTCTCCAAGTGTTCTGCCTAGGCAACCACAAATGGCGAAAAGCAGACGACAGTAATGATTATGTGTAGAAATCAGCCTCCTAGGATCGAATGTCAAAGGAATCTAAAATGTTTGAGAGGACAGCATGAAAAGCTGACACAGTACACAGGCTAGACAAGGCGTCCTCATAAAGAACCTGTAGGAGGAGGGAGCCAGGAAAGTTGAATCTCTGGAAGTCCCGTCTTTAAAAAAGCAAACACATCTAACATGACAACATCATATTTTAGATGTGGGGTTATGGCGATGAACAAACTGGACAAAAACCCCAGCACTGCTGGGCCTTCTATTCTGTTCTGGGGAAGAAAGACAGTAAAAGATATAGTATATAAGTTGGTGAAGGAAACTGTAGGGTGACGAAGAGGTTGGAATCAGAGATGGGAGCTCCAGGTTCAAGAGCGCAGGCCTAGAATGGTACTCTGTGATTCTAAATGCTAATGAGGCTTGGAAAGTGGGTACACTCACAGGTTTGGAGCAAATAGAGGCAAGGGGACGAGAGCCAGATGGTATAACTGGCTCGCTGGTTTCACATAACGTTCTACCTCCTCTGTCCAGACTGTCTTTTTCTTTTCCCCGTATAGTGGTTTGGGGACAAATATTTTTAATGCTAACAGTTCAAGGCTTTCAAATGGCATAATAGGTGCTAAGAGAAGAAAAAACTGGGACATTTGTTTGAGCGGGGCAGGCTAAGCTACCCAAACTTTGAACCCTATGCAGTTCCTGGCTAGAGGCTGCTTTCATGGCCCCACCTGTCGTGTGATCAGTAAAAGTCTTTTGTTGTTGTTTAGTCACTAGCCCACCGGTCTCCTCTGTCCGTGGGATTTCCCAGGCAGAAATACTGGAGCAGTTTGCCATTTCCTTCTCCAAGGGATCTTCCTGACCCAGGGATGCAACTCGCATCTCCAGCATTGGCAGGAAGACTGCTTATCACTGAGCAACCTGGGAAGCCCAAAGGTCCTTACAAAAAGGCAAATCTGACTAGTCTACACCTTCTCTACTGAGGCAGGTCCTGGATACAGGTGATGTCAAGGAGACTGAAGGGAAGGCTCTATCTGGGTGGGGAGTATACATGGCTGAGACACAATGGACAGGAACTTCTGTAGGGAGTGGGGAGGGACGGCTTGGGCCGCAAAGTAACCACATCACATGGGTCCATGTTGTAGATGTTGACATCCTCAGTGCTACAGCCAGAGAAGAGGAGGAGAAGCAGATCGGAGGATGACCGCAGTGGCCCTGGAGGCCACGTGACAGGGGTTATAGAAGGATGTGGAGAAGACAGCCTGTCCCAAATGCGGGCACCCTCACTGATGGAGAAGGCCCATTTTCTAAGGAAGACCCAGGAGATCAAAGTGCAAAATACCCTCCTCTCCATTTTCCTCTCCCCACAAGGAGGACAGGTCATGACAAGAGCGCAGGCAGGTGGCAATGAGCTGTCCTCCGGGGAAAACGTGGGCTGATTAAGGTAAAGAAGCGCATATACTTGAGAAAAGACTGCAGGGATGCAAGCATGCTGCCATCTATAATAGGGGGGAGGGGCCCCTTGAGAGACAGACCTGGGAAGGAGCATGCGAGTGATGAGAGCTGGTGAGAAGCAGCAAATGGGAGTGTGCATCTGAAATGTTGCTATTTCTCTTCTTCATGGAGAAGGAAATGGCAACCAACCTGGAGAATTCCATGGGCAGAAGAGCCTGGCAGGCTACAGTCCCTGGAGTCACAGAAAGTCGGACGCTACTGGCTGAAAATATTATTATTAGTTATTATCTGAAATGTTAGGTGCAGAATAAAAAGACTAATAAGTGAAGCTATAAACTGAGTGGTGGGGGGAGGAGGCCAAACTGCATCACCAAACAGGGCAAACCTTCCTATCGACTCACTCCACTGTTCGCTTAATCATTCATTCACTGAATATGTGTTTATTGCCTTCTTTTCTAGACTGCATTGTATTTCCCCCAAATTCACACGTCAAAGTCCTAACCTCCAGCACCTCAGACTGTAACTGTGTTAGATGTAGGGCCTTTAAAGAGATAACTGAGTTAAATGAGGTCTGATGGATGGGCCCGGATCCAGTAGGACTGGTGTCCTTATAAGAGGAGATTAGGACACCGACACATGCAGCGGGTAGGTCACGTGAGGACGCGGGGCGAAGACGGCCGTCTGCAAACCAAGGGGAGAGGCCTCAGGAAAAGCCAAACCTACTGCCATGGTGATCTCCGACTTCCAGCCTCCAGGACCGAAAGCAAAGAAATTTCGGTGGTTTAAACCACTCAGCCTGTGGTACTTTGTTCTGCTCGCTCCCGTCAACAAATAGGCACGCCTGCCGTGTACCAGGCAAGAGTCTTAATGGAATATACACCAGGACTGATAGAAAGTCCTCTTCCCAGCTGCTCATCTTCTCGTTCTCATCCATTTGGAGGGGAAATCTCTCTCGTTGCTGTCACCTGCCACCATGCCAGAGCAAATACCTCCGAGCCACCTGGAAACCCCTCGGTGGAGGGAGCAGAGGGATGGGGGTCCATGGGGAGAAGGTGACATCACTTCTCATCCTGACCACTTGCACCTCCTAACTGCCGCACCCTCAAAAGGAACAGAAAGAGGAAGGAAGAAGAAGAGAACAGAAACCAGCAAGAGGAAAGTACCATTACAATTTGAGCTTCCCTCTACATCTCCCTAGGTAATCATAAGATGGAGAATGTCTTTAAGATACTTAAACTTGGGACTTCCCTGGTGGTCCAGTGGTGAAGCATCTGCCTGCCAACGCAGGGAACACAGGTTCGATCCTTGTTCTGGGAGCTAGGATCCCACATGCCGCAGGGCAACGAAGCCTGTGCTCCACAAGAGAAGTCTCCGCAACTAGGGAACAGCCCCTGCTCACTACAGCTAGAGAAAGCCTGCACACAGCAAGGGAGACTCAGTGCAGCCAAAAATAAATAAATAGTTTAAGAAATTAATACTATTTAAAAAGAAACACATTAACTTTTCAAGGACTGTGCCTCTAGTTACTCTGTTTAATAATTCACAGGCCGTCTAAATGAACCAGCGGGTCTGTCTGTGAGAACCCCTGTATTCTACAGCTCCTTTCATGCCAACGTCAACAGAGCAGCCTCAAAGTTTGAAAAGAATGCCTCACCGTGGCAGCCTCCGTGTTTATCTTCCATGTCAAACCACTTCACAGCTCTGAGGTCACCGGCCCATGATGCATTTGGCATGGAGCCAGGTACACCTGCAATGTTGATAAAGAAGAAAAAGCAGAAATAAGAACCTAAACTTCCATCGCAGACTCATTTTCTCAGTATAGTTTCTTTCACATCTGATCTCTCATCATTGGTACAAAACCCCAAAGGCTTGTGGTGTGAATTGTTGGTAGTTACGAACTTAGACTTGCCCCCTGTAAAAAGAATCTATTGTTGTTGTTTTTTTTTTTTTTCATTTTTCATTTCTTGCAAGCCTGCAAGAAATGCCATTGGATGAAATCATAGTGCAGGTGGAAAAGCTGAGAATTTTCTGGTATCTCAATGCCTTTTAACTGAATTTACTTAAAAACTTTTTATTAGAGTATGGATAATTTACAGTGTTGGTTTTTCGTGTTCAACGAAGTAAATCAGTTTATATACATATATGCTGCTGCCGCTGCTGCTGCTAAGTCACTTCAGTGTCCAACTCTGTGTGACCCCATAGACGGCAGCCCACCAGGCTTCCCCGTCCCTGGGATTCTCCAGGCAAGAACACTGGAGTGGGTTGCCATTTCCTTTTCCAATGCATGAAAGTGAAAAGTGAAAGTGAAGTTGCTCAGTTGTGTCCGATTCTTTGCGACCCCATGGACTGTAGCCTACCAGGCTCCTCCGTCCTTGGGATTTTTCAGGAAAAGTACTGGAGTGGGTTGCCATTGCCTTCTCCGACATACATATATATCCCTTCTTTTTCAGGTCCTTTCCCCATATAAATTATCACAGAATATTGAGTAGAGTTCCCTGTGATATACAGTAGGTCCTTGTTGTTCAGGTTCTTACTAGTTATCTATTTTATATATGGTGGTGTGTATATGTTAATCCTAATCTCCCAATTTATCACTTCTCCCCATGTTTCACCCTTTGGTAACTCTTAGTTTAATTTTTAGATCTGTGGGTCTGTTTCTGTTTTGTAAATAAGTTCATTTGTATCATTTTTTAAATTAGATTTCTCATGTAAGTGATATGATATGACATTTGTCTTTCTCTGTCCAACTTATGTCACTTAATATAATCTCTAGTCCATCCATGTTACTGCAAGTGGCATTATTTCATTCTTTTTTATGGCTGAATAATATTCTACTGTGTATATGTGTCACAACTTATTTATCCATTCCTCTGTCAATGGACTTCCAAGATAACATCTATCTTACAGTAAAAGCTCACGAAACAGGCCACTCTATGTCCTTAATGCTAATAAGTGAAAGAGATCCCATTACAGGAAAAGGAGTATTGAATATGGGAGCCAATGTAAGTGCAACTAAATGAGGGCTGATTTGTGTCATAGGAGCTCTAGCGATTCTCATCAGTGAGAAATACAATGTGAACACCATGCAAATGACATTGGTACTCCATCAAAACAGTCTTTTCTTAAAAGTGGTAGGCAGAATAATGCCCCTGCCCCCAACATATCCTCATACAAGTCTGCATCCTAATCCCTGGAACCTGACAATATGCTTTGTCACATGGCAAAGGGAAATTAAGGTTGCTTATCAGTTGACCTTCAACTAGGGAGATTATCCTGATTTATCTAAGGCCATTGTAAATACAAGGGCCTTTAACAGTGGAAGAGGGAGGTGGAGAACTGGCTGGGGTGGTACAAGGTGAGGAGGAGGAAGGGGCTAGGGTATGTGGGTGGCCTCTAGAAGCTGGAAAAGGCAAGGAGCGGGATCTGACCCAGCCCTACAGAGAGGAGCGTAGCGCAGCCAGCACCTTGACTTCGGTCTGATGGGACCATGTCAGACTTCGGACCCACAGAACTATAAGAGGAGACAAGTACATCATTTAAGTCCCTAAGTCTGTGATAAATTGTGACAATGGCAAGTAGAAAATGAATACACAAGCTAATGAGAACCAAATTACCCAAGATGATGGATATTTTTAATTAAAAAATTGGACAAGATCAATACGTTGAGAAGTTTAATTGATTTAGACACAAAAAATTTTTTCCTCTTTGAAAACACTGATAAGGAATTTCCCTGGTGGCCTGGTGGCTAACACTCTGTGCTCCCTACACTCTGTGTAGGGGGAGCTGAGTTCGATCCCTAGCCAGGCAACTAGATCCCACATGCCGCAACTAAGAGTTCAAACGGTGAAACTAAAAAGATTCGCACAACTAAGACTTGGCACAGCCAAATAAATAAAGAAATAAAATATTAAAAAAAAAAACTGATGAAAACGTGCATTTTCAGACAGTAAAAAACAGCTCTGCTCTTTTGCTCTGATGTCATATAATAATTATATGAGAATTTAAATCAAGAACTGTACTAAGGTCTTCCAGCTAAAACTAAATTTTGCAGTCTTTTCTGTAACTAGCATGTGTCTTCACCCCTATAGGCTCTCTATCAGGGATTCTTCTCTCCTTGCTGGAAAACTTAAAAACTCTGTTTATAAGTGTTGAGTACTCAAGAAAAACTCTTTATTAAGTAATATTTCTTCCTATTATTTTAGGTTGTATTTAATACTTTAAAAGTTACTTTAGTCTTCTGCCTATCAGAAAGGAGCCTTCTTTATTTTGTTCTTAGCACACACTTTAAAAAATTACTTTTGTTTGGCTGCACCCCAAGGCATGTGGGATCTTAGTTCCTCAATCAGGATTGAACCCACCCCTGCATTGGAAGCACAGAATCTTAACCACTGAACCACCAGGGAAGTCCCAGAATAAACTTTGAAAGAATTTAGAATAAAACTCGCCTTGGTTAAGTTGAGGGGTGGGTAGAGGCAGTCTGGAAAGCAAATAGGTAATCTGGTATATTTACTCCTGTCATCAAGGTCAGCGGATGTGTGATTTTTATAAGTCTCTTTCAATTAAGTAACTATAGCAGAAAGATGTGAATAAAACATTGTCATGACGAAAAGTCCCTGGCCCTCCTTTAAAGGACTGAATTTTTAAAAGGACAAGATATTTCTCTTCCTCTTTCATTCTCATTAATATTGAACATCACAAACTGACTCTTCATGCAATATCTCGGGCCCCACCCAGACCTCCTGCACCAGAATGAGCATCTTCACAAGACCCCGGGAGGATCCCTGCGCACAGTCCAGCCTGCGCTGCAATCAGCACAGCCAGGAACTCGGCTTCATTTCCTCCCCTCCGGAAGTCGCCCCCGCAGACTTCATCCAGTTTTCTGGGAGCTTCTCCCTCTGCTCTTCTCACCCAGATTCTGCTCTCGTGAAAGAATCTGATACTTCCATCTTTGTACCCTCTGCGGGGAATACAGTTGACCCTTGAAAAGCATGGGTTTGAACTGCAAGGGTCTTTTCCTACGCAGATTTTCTTCAATAGTAAATACAACAATCTAGGCAATAGGAGGTTGGTTGAATCCATGGATGTGGAACCTTGGATACAAAGGAAACTTGGATACAGAGGGCCAGAATAAATTATCCTCGGATTTTCGAGTCTGTGCCCCTAACCCCTGTGCTGTTCAAAGGTCAACTGCATATGCATCTGAACCCCTCCACATCCTCCTTGACGACAGCCAGCCCTCCTAGTGTGAAAAGGCTGTGTTGAGTGGAGGGCCAGTCCTCGCGGTGCCTCTAGACTGGTTCACAGGAGGCACTGATCGAGGTTCAAGAATGGATGAAGCGTGGCACTCAAAGGCTGTACCATCACCTTAGTCTTTAGCGCTGATGGCGAGGACTGCTTAGCTTGTGCGCAGATCGGACAGGCTTGGTTGCTCTCCTGGCTTCCCAATAGGCCACCATATTTTAAGGCAGTGGCCCTGACCTTTTGGGCACCAGGTACATGTTTTATAGAAGACAGTTCTTCTACGGAAGGGGGAGTATGGTTTCAGAATGATTCAAGTAAATTGCATTTATTGTGCACTTGACTGCTATTATTACATCAGCCCCACCTCAGATTATCAGCATCAGATGCTGGAGAGTGGGGACCACTGCTTTAAGGTATAATAACGCTCTATTTCTCAGTATTGAAAAGTATTTCTTCTACCTTCTCGGCAAGGGCCAACCCGTTTCAGTTTGCCCTACAGAGCTGCCTAGGTGGCCATCAGTCATCTAGTCTCCATATTTGTCCTGCCTCGCACTATTTTAAGGAGGAGATAGAACACTCGGCAAGGCTTCTGGTGACAGCTCTATTCAAGTACTTTGTAGGCATCATCCCTCAGTTATTATTTTGAGGCGAAAACGGAGGGCAAGAGACTGAGTAGCCTGAATGCCCAGTGTGCCCGCTAGTCAGTAAGTGGTTCACTTTGGCTTTGGTTAAAACACACATGGAGGACTTCCCTGGTGCTGCAGTGGGTAAGAATCCACTTGCCAGTGCAGGAAACACGCGTTCAATCCCTGGTCCGAGAAGATTCCACGTGCTTCGGAGCAACCAAGCCCGTGAACCCCAACTTCTGAGCCTGAGAGCCTCGACTACCGAAGCCCCGCCACCCACCCCCGCCTAAGGCCCGTGCTCTGCAACGAGAGCAGCCGCCGCAGTAAGAAGCCCGCACATCGCAACAGAAAGCAGTCCCCGCTCGCCGCAACTAGAGAAAAAGTCCGTGCGCAGCGACAAAGACCCGGTGCAACCAAAAAACAAAATTAATTAATTAATAATTTAAAAAAAAGTGGAGCTCCCCCAAGCTGCTGATCCTGTTACTTGTGCAAAGGCCAGTTGCCCCTTTTACTCCCCTAAAAACATCTCTACGTCTCTTTCCGGTTTTTCCCCCAGAGACTGACCTTAGGTTGAACTCCCCAGTGGAACAGATACTGGCCTAGGGAGAGGGGAACTGAGTTCTCACCCCAGAACTAGCTGAGTATTCTTGGCCATCACACAGTGGCCCCCAGACTGACTTTTCGAGGGAAGTAGGTAGATAAGATCAGAAGTTTTCAGCCCTTTAGGCTGCAAGCCACAGGAAAACAATTTCACTGTCTCTCTCTCTCTCTCTCTCACACACACACACAGAGAAGTTTCAGAAAATATTTAGTGTTGTAGCAGTACACTTGTCTGCTATTTTCTAGTCTACTCTCATGTTAAAATTTTTCATTTAAGACC